CACCGCGCCCCCTTCTTCGCCGTGTTTTTTTTCCCCCACCCTCCGGCCTTTGTTTCAACAACATTCCAGGTCGGAGCTGTCAGCTATCAGATCCCATTTTGTTTTCGCTCCACATTAACGGATCGCTCTGATTACGCGCACAATTGCTCCGACTTCCTTAAGAGGCAATGAGAAAAATCTACCGGGGCGGCGGGAAGCGGAGGGCCTCTTGTTTGCTCAGGCGGCCTCGGGACAGGCGATAAGCGGGACCCCGCACTGCCCTTCAGGGAACGCAGTTGCTTCACCGAAAGTCGAGTTGAGAGGTATTAAGTGAGAGACTTGTCATTGGATTCTTTTACCGGAATACCGTAGAGGTATTTTAACAATTGGAAATGTCATACAAGTGTAAAAAGAAGTTAGCAACTGTGAATATTAAATCACTGTGACTTTAACTAAAATATGAAAAGCAAAGCAGTTATATATATTTTTTTCTTTTTTTTTAACAGTACATCATACACATGCTTTATGTACATACATATATATATGCATAGTTTTTAAGCAGTTAAATGAACATTAGCTGAAAAAGAATTCTGCCATGTTGGCTGACCTGAGCTCTCGCTTCTCAAGATGACATTTGTTTTAAAGTGATTCCAGCATGGACCCCCAAAATACAAGCAGCTGCAGGAATTTCTGGCTGTGTCTATGCTAAATGGTCCAACAATCTAACCGGTTCCATTTCCACAAAAAAAAAAAAAAAAAAGCCCACTAAAATTCCACTGTCACTCCTGTCAAAGCCAAGTTTGTTCCTCGTCCAGACAGGAAGTCTATAGGTGGTGTCATTACATCATAACACAGTGGCGGGGGCGGGAATGTGTCTGTGATTGATTGGCTCATTACACATATACACAAGCAGGCTTGTTCTACGCAATACAAATATGGCAACATGACTTCATTTTTGCCACTGGCATGCCCTCATTTAACCAAAACAAGGCGGCCTTTTGAGTCACACTTTATGTGGCACACCTGGACGCCCTTAATCACATCCAACAGAAAAAAAAAACCTAGTGCACTTGTGTAAATAGGGGATTATTGTAGCAATACGTTTGTTTTGGTTGTTGCAGTTTGCAATGCATCATCCCAAAAATTACAATGACATTTTTTCGTACTTCAAAATTAAATACAAATAAAATGCATTGTGCTGGATTAAAAAAAAAAAAAAAAACTTTTTTCACATGCCACTAGAGGGAGCCCTCGGACCCAACTCAGTGAACCACAGAATTCTGTAATTAGATTTGATGGAAAAATACTAATTCACAAAACACAAGAATTGAAAAAGCTTTGACACAAAAACAAATGACAACAAGAACGCACACAAAGAGCAAAATAAAAGCACTCACCATTGCAGGTTCCATCATCCGCTAGCGCATAGCCCAGGATGCACGGCACAGTATAGCCCACTTGCGGGTAGCTGGGCTCGCCCGACCTTGGGAGAGCCGGCACGAAGCTGTTCGGCTGGCTGGCAGATGTGCCAGTGCCAGCGCCGGCGCCACCCCCACCGCCCCCGCCCCCCTGATATGCCGATTCAGGCTGCTGCTGCACCTGCGGGGGCTCGGGCCCATAGGGCTGATTGTAGAGGCCGCGGGGCAGGCACAGGTAGCCCCCGTTCTGGTTGACGCAACGCATGTCCCCCCTGCAGGGGTCTGGAAGGGTCCGACACTCATCCACATCTGCAAGATGGACACAACACAACACACACACACACACACACACACAGAGGGAGCCCTCGGACCCAACTCAGTGAACCACAGAATTCTGTAATTAGATTTGATGGAAAAATACTAATTCACAAAACACACTTTACTAAGCAACGTGAAATTTAGCAGAGCATTAGAAAAGCTATGCCTTTAAAGATGATTACATCTCAGTTTAAAACTTATTTCTCCAACTAGTCCTAAACTCTAACGTGTGGATTTTGGCCTATTTTACTACCGCTTCCCCACTTTTTTTCTTCTGAACAGTACATTTGTGAAAAGGGGTTTGGTTGCACTTAACTTTGAAGTACATTCATATATAATCTTGCTAAATCATGATTTGGACATTGTAATTGGTAACGTGGCTTGAACCGATAACTTACCCATACACTGTCTTGATCTGCGGTCGTATCTGAAGCCATCTGTGCACGTCTGTGTGAACACCAATACAATTACACCCTTATCTGTACATGAGATCAAACGTTGTATTCTAAAAACAGATTCTTATGAAATTTGGATTCAGACATGACTCCCGACCACGCCTGGCTACTCTGTAGCTCTGCCACTGATTGGTTGAGTTGCTGTTCATTTTGTAAATGGATTAAATTGTGGTGCCGATCTCTTGAGGTCAAATGAAAGAAAATAAATTGCACTGTATCTGCCCAAAAAGACGGGTGGGTGCCCACCGGGCATGTGCTCGCTATGACAGATGGCCAGTCTAGCCCTGATGCCTGCTGTGTTCCTGATCAAATAAAATATGCACATAGACACAGTTGTGTTTGTGAATGAAGTCCGTGAATAAAAATCCTTACCTGGCTGTGTGCTGACTGCATACAAAGCAAAATAAATAGCAGAGCTGCCAACATCCTGCAAGAAAAGAAGTCCACTTTGGTTTGTTTCACTTTTAGGGTGGATTGCAAACTTCCTGTTAGTCGAAAACAACAAAGACCCCAAAGGAAAAAAAAAAAATCCAATACTGACCTTGTAGAGGAGCAAAGCGTGAAGCCACGTATGTCACCGAGCGCGTTTTTCATTTCCTCCCCAGCTCCTTTCAATTCGACGACCCTTAAAGCGTTGACCCCCCTCTGTGAGCTAAGACCCCCACCCGCACAATGTCATACACTTCCCTCAACCTCCCCCCCCTCCCCAAAGTGGACCGAGGCGCTACTGGTGTCGCCACTTTTTTAAAAAATTGATTTAGCTCTGCCTCCCGCCCCCTGCCTCACTCCACAGCTGGATCCCATCAGCCCAGGAAGGGACGCATACCCACACACACACACACACACTCACACACACACACACACACACACACACACACACACACACACACACACACACACACCCTCCTTACACGCTTTATGCTTAAACCAAGCTAAGCCACCAACAGGGGGCAGAAGTACTTTTATTTTCTTGTTTTTCCAATTTACAAAAAAAATAATAAATCTCCCGGATTTACAGTAAGATAAATGTACAAACAAGTTTGTAAATATAAAGATTCCTATCAAGCATGTACACTCCTGAAGTTATGACCATAAAAACAGGCACTTGGATGTCCTACTTGATAACCGCTGTCCATGAAAAGAATAAAAAAAAAAAAAAAGAATCCCACCCTTTCAAAATGTACAACTGCAATAGTAGCATTGCTTACGTCTGCCCTTTTATGACTTGAACACGTGTTGTTGTGTAGTCAGTGTGGGTTACCGCAGCCGCAGAATGCTTGGCAACTCCGCTTACTTGCGTGCTCGACACTGACACTGTCATGAGTAATGAACAAATTGTGGTGCCTTGAGATACCGTGACCATGCGCATAACTCCATTTAAAAAAAATCTCAAATCCTCTTTCCCACTAAAATGAGCGCAAATCCTTTGCAGCCTTAAAATAAAACAAAAATGTGTGTGTGTGTAAATAAGAAAAAATAGCACTCTATAATGTTGTATTTTTATAAATATAAACAATAATTACATAGAATTTCAAGGATTCAACTTTTGAACCACATCTTTTTGCTTCCATCTGCTAGACATTGTGCTGCTCCAACTGGTGTGCCCACCAAGAGGAAATATGACACAGAGATGAGATACAGATAGACATGGAGGTAACGCCCCAGTGAGCCACAGTAATATTAGTCGCTCTTCGCGGGCGATAAAGAACATCTTCCCGTGAGCACTAACTGCATTTGTGCTCAAATAAATCCATTTTTAAAGGGTGATGAAACCTCACCTCAGATGCTATTTGTTAGCTCCTCTATGGTGATTCCCTTGATGTGTTAGCATTAAGCTAGCAGACATGAAGGCAAAGTGGCACAGAAATCGTCCAGACGACGGCTTGCATCTTGAAAAACTTGTAGCCCGGGTTACCTGTACCACAAGGCCCCACTATATCGTGATTAGAGAGTAGAGAATGAGTGTACGATTCCAAAGACAGCCGCGAGCCACACACCTGAAAACAAGACGGCAAGTTTGGTTTAAAGCCACTATTTTGGGGGATTTCAGCCATTTGAACCAGTCTTTTGCTTTTAGAATTGCATCAAATGCTCTCGGGCATCTCCGATTTTTATAAGGAAGCACTTCGATTCATCTGGATAGGACAAACTTCGTCTTCTTCCACTTCACTGCTTCAACAGGTCCTTGAGCACAGCGCCGCCGCTGGCCTCGGCCGAAACGGGCACTGGCGTGAAGGTGGGCAAAGCGTCCGAGATGGGCTTCATCAGCAGGTGCCCGCCGGCGCCGCCGGAGATGGCGGCGCCGGTGGCCAGCAGGGGCACCGCGGCGGAGCGAGGGGCCAGGAAGGGGTTGTTGGACTTGCTGGCCGCCGCGCCGCTCGCCGGCGTTCTCCTGGAGGGCGGGGCGCTCAGAGGCTTGATATCCAGGACGGGAAGCTTGGGCGCGGGGAGCGATGGCGTTGACTCAGTCTCCAGGAACTTGACAAACATCTCGGAGAAAGACTGACAGGAAAAAAAAAAAAAGACTAATTCTTCTCAAACTGGAAGTTGCAACTTCGGGGCCGCAATATAATCGAGATGCCGAATGTCGAGCATTGTTTCTTCTTCTTCCTACCGTGTTGAATCTATTTCCACTGGTGGGCCTCTGGGGAGTATTGGGGACACTCTGCGCGCCTCGGCCAACAAGCCAGCTCGACACCCAGCCACTCATGCCGCGCGCCGTGTCCTCCTCCAGCATCTGGACCATAAAATATAACATCTGGAAATCAGCAATAACTCAGGGCCGTGCGACATGGCCGTAAAATATAACATTTTAAAGACCCTCTAGATGAAGATCGATGAAAAAGAATCCATTATCCGTCTACTGATAGATAGGAGCATCTCTGGAACCCCACCCCCACCCCCAAAAATGGCAAAAACAAATACGGCCTTACGTTATTTTGCAAAGAAAACGGTTGCCTTGAGTTCCTCTTTTAAGGGATACAACACTGAAACTAGTGATGCTATTTGTTAGCCTGTCAATGGTGTTTTGCTTTGTGTGTTAGCATTAAGCTAGCGAAATGCAGAGGAATGATTATTTAAAGTTTGGCAGCACTGAGCTCATCTGACACTATTTGTCTCGGTTGTTTCTTTTTAAAACGGGCGACAGGTTTCTGTCTTAAGAGTATTGTGATTTCTGGTCTTGATTCTGTTGCAGGCTCAGGAAGAAGAAAAAAAACCCAACAATCGTAAATTGCTAATCGGCAATACAGCGCGTGGGCCTGAACGATGGATGAACTCTGATAGAGTGAGGAAAGGCTGTCATATGTCACAACATATGTTAACGCTGGCATCATCTAATTACCGACTCGCGGCCTGGCGCGGCTGTGTGAAAGCGTGTCCGAATCCCTCCTTGGTCAGGCCCTGCGTTAAAACCCACAAGGCTGAAAATTACCAGAACTGTCGCGGCACGTTTGCGGCAGAGTCAGACAAGTTGATAAAGACATAATGGCCGTCATTCCCGCCCCGCAACCCCTGTCAACATAACTAGACCCGTATTTTTATTTTTTTTTTGCTGACTCGACACGTCACTGCGATAGGAAGCGGTCTCACCACGCTGTCATCTTCCCTCATCGTCGACGGCGCTCGCTCGCAGCTGGATGCACTTAGAGCGCTCCGTGATCCCGTAAGGGGCATGTAAACACGAGTGGGGAGGGATGTAGGTGTTTAAAAAAAAAAAAAAACAAAAAAACAAGAGGGATCATCGTCGACGGCGCTCGCTCGCAGCTGGATGCACTTAGAGCGCTCCGTGATCCCGTAAGGGGAATGTAAACACGTATGGGGAGGGATGTAGGTGTTTAAAAAAAAACAAAAAAACAGGAGGGACTCACCATGACATAAGTGCAACACCATAAAAAAAATGTTCATTGTCTTTGGGGCGCAGTAACCCAATTTGCCGTTTCTGTTTCCCTTTAGGAGGGTTGGAATGGTTCCTCAGGACCTTCGAGATAAGAAAGAAAAGCTCCCCCCTCTCCGGCTTTCGTGGAAATTTTGGGGGGTTTCTCGTGGTTGGCGAAGAGCTAATTTACATTTCGAAATGTCAAGGGCGCTGAAGCGATTTTGAACCCGCAGGCCTCGTTTGATTTTATGACCCTTTCAGCTTTTCCGTGGCCATTTTTTTTTTTTTTTACGATTTTTTTGCTTTATTTTACTGCATCATTTTCTTGTCATACATGGGAACATATCCATGTTTATATTGTAACCCTTCAAATTCCAGTTTGCTTCCGCTGCCGCTCAATGAGAAAGAAACGACGACCCCGCCTCCAAAGAATGAGTGATTACAATTATTGCGTAACAAGTGTCCTGTAATTCCTTCTTTGTCAGAAAGCTTACATTCAGACATTTTGGAAGTCTATTAATAAGCATTCCGATGACCTAATTTTAGTCATTCAGAGCTTTTTTGTGATGGCATGCATGACCAGAATTTTCCCAATTTGGAATCTGGTTTTTAATTTGTAGTACTAAAGCAACAAAGAAGCAGGCTAAAATCGAGGCACTTTAAGCAAATGAACACACACAGCCCCCTCCCCACCCAAAAAAAACCCCACTTATTTTTGAACAAGTTATAAATATGCTATATTGCGTTAATTGACGGAACATGAATGAAAGGGCCGTTTGAACTCACACTCGCGACACTGTTCGTCTATGAGACGCATCGAAACAGGAGCGCCGTTATTCCGGCTTGCAAACTGCACCATAATGATGTCATTCATTTGAAGAAGAAAAAAAAAACGGCTTGAATTAATGCCTGACCTTTTCCACATCCTCTCGGCTCAACCCCAGCACGCTTCCCATAAGCTTCAGCACGTCCATGCGCTTGTTTCTGGGCGTGTGGAAGTAACCCTGAAGTAGGTTACGCATTAGGACCCTGGGGATGCAAAATTCAAACGTAATTGGAATGACTGTCCAATGTCCCTCTCGGGAGAAAATAAACGTTGAGCATTAGCATATGATTCTGTATTACATCCATTTCATTCGAAATGGATGAAAATTGAGCAGCGATCATGTCACCTACTTGTCAATCTTGCCCTCGGTGCTGTTCAGCAGGCTCATCAATTTTTTCTGGGCCTCCTCCAGCATCTCCTGTCGCACGTCCACTACAAACACACACAATCACGTTAGCTGAGCAGCAGGCACATTCGTAGACGGCGCATAGTATGCAACGTTCCATAGGTGGCGGTCAGATCAGAATAGCAAACAAATGAGCTAATCAAGCAGGTCTACGATAACACAAGCCACCAAGACGGAGTCGTGTGGGATGTCGCCTTAAAGTCTTGAGCAAAAGCGTGGGAGAACGTTTCACCCCAGGCACAAGGAGGACTTCAGAGGGGATGTAGAAGATTTGCAACAAAAATGTTTTCTGGTAAATGTATTTTCCACACTAAAAGGCGCACCTTGAATGAATGGCCTATTTTGTCAATTTGTTTCATACATTGGGTGCACCGCATTATAAGACGCAATCTACAATGCATCCACTAGAAGGCGCTACGCTCAAGGAAACACCAACAGAACGATCAGATGTCAGTAAAACATAGTTAATAAAAGCAGCAACACAGTTCACTTAACCAACAGCAAGTTAGAACATTGACTCGTTAACGAACTCTCTTGCCGCTGCTCTATTTCCGTGTTCAACTGCGTAACCGATCGCCTTAAGTTTGAACTCTGCGTTGTCAGCACGTCTCGAGCAAGGAGCCATTTTGGGGGTTGAAATATTACCATAATAATAAGGCGCATCGGATTTTAAGGCGCGCTGCGAGTTTTTAAGA